TAGCTTTCTCGCTTTCTTTAGGAAGGTGTTAGGAAGGTTAGAGTCTGTAAAGTATTTTGCTATGATTTCATTATTACATAATGGTGTATCTTTCAGCATTACTCCTAACTTTTTTGTGAAATTCTTCATCTGAACCAACTGGATCTGATTTTTGAATGGCGTGAAGTTGTATTGCAGGAATTCTTGATAGTGCGTCTGCATTCATGTTTAATGTTCCTTTTTTGCATTTGATCTCATAATCAAATTCGGATAGTTTTAGTCTCCATCTGACTAATTTAGAACTTGGTTCTTTAACATTAAATAGCCATTGTAGAGGTTTGTAATCTGACAAAATTGTGAATTTTCAACCAAAAAGATAAGGTCGAAAATTTTTTGTTGCCCATACGATTGCTAAAAGTTTCATCAACGACCATTCTCCATTTTTGTATGCCTGCGGCGTTTTCTTTCTTAGGTACTATCCACACAGCGGACTACAGGATGGTCTGATTATGTTATCTTCTAACATTTTCTTTATTTGAGAATTTAATGCTTGTTTATGCACATGAGGATATCTATACGTTTTCGTGTGCACTGTTGTTTTAATTTCTTGTTTGACTTGATTGGTGAATGTCAATTTTTCGTTCGGCTTGTGGAAAATTGTAGGAAAAGATTCAATTACGTGTTTTAAAGGGTCAAATTCCTCTGAGTTCAAATGATTAATACGTAGCGACTTCATAGAATCATTTACATATTCATCATTTTCTAATGAAGTAATTTGTTCTATATTAAATATCTCAAACTGTTCATCAGCATAAGGTAAACTAATTTTCGCTAAGTTGTTTATGTTATACGGGACAATAATAGGCTTATTCATTAAGTTGTGTACTTCTTTGTACACCATTTCATTAATGACTGTTGCTATTGTCGAAGGAATATAATATGTTTCATTTTTTATTTGTGGTGTAAGTATTTCAAGACTATCAGCTAGGTACATTTGTAATGAAATAACATACTTGAATTCAGTTGCTTGAAATCTCAAAATTTTGATTTTTGAAATTTGTTCTATATTGAAACGGAATTGTTGTTTTATTATTAGAAAGACGCATATTAGAAAAATCTATATTTAAATTATTTTCTTGTAATGCTTTGATTCCAATAATTCCAACAAAATAGTCATGGAAATTGTGCATTATCAATTCAATGTTATTTTGAATATAATATTCTTGTAAAATTGGGACATTGATTTTTCCTTGGGTTTTTCTTGTACCCATACAAGTAGTTAGCTTGTTCCGTGAATTAATTATAGAATTTGAAAAATATTCCTCTGCGATTGAGGGTCTTATTAAAGAGGCATCACTTCCTGTGTCAATTAATAATTTACACGGTGGCTAGTCTATTTGAATAAAAGGCAGTTGGTTGATTTGATAAGCAATTAAAGTTAATGCTGACTCATTGCATCCAACTGAAAATTTTCGTCTTCAGTTTCGACTTGTTTTTCTTCACAAATTTTGATTTCATTCATAATATTTTTGATTCTCGCAACATTCTTCAGTTTCGAAATTTTCGTCAGGGTCAGGTAATTCTATTTCAAAGATATTATTAATCTCTTCGATTGTATATTTTGATGGTCCTGCATTTGGATCAGGTTTGAAATAGTTATTGGGTTTGTATTGATGTTGATTTTGTGCTCGTGGCTGCACTGAAACTCCGGACATAGGTGTCTGCTTCGAAAATTGTTGATTCGTGTTTTTTCAAAAGGCATTATTATAATTTTTGCCAAAAGTTCCTGAACTAGTAGGAAATTTTGCTGGTACATAGTCCTTTTTAGGTGTTATATTAATAGTTTGGGATGGAAACTGTGGTTTCTGTGGTACATATTATGATGTTTTTTTTATGTATATTGAGGTTTTTGTTGAGTATAGGTTTGTTGTGAACGAAATTGCATATTTTTATTGTTGAAATTTGAAAATTTTTTATCAGTAGAATGAGTAAGTCCTCTACTTAATTTCATGTGGTTTTTAGCTAGTTGATAATTTAACACAAATTTGTTAGCTGCATCCAACGTTTGTGGATTTTGATCCATCAAAATTGTTCTTAATTGGGTTGGCGAATTAGTGACTAGATTTTGAATAGCAATAATTTCGTTTTGTTCAATCAAGACATTTGCAACTACCGTTAAATTTGGGTCGCACATGATTTTAGATGTAGTTCTTTGAACTAAACCTTTTAGTTTATCCAAATACTCAATAATAGTGTCTTCATTAGTTTTAGTGGTATACATAAGCTCTTGTACAAAATTCTGTCTAGAATATTGATCACCATATCCAAATTTCACTTTTCCGAAGAATTCACTTTTTCGAATTTCCTCCAGTCTTTTGGAATTTTCGCGACGGATTACGACTGTATCGACTTTCCCGAAACTTAAGCACTCTGAGCATCCGAACGACTGCGCCAATTATATTTTAGATTCAGAAACTTGTATTTTAAAAAACATTTATTTGATTGATTAAAATACAGAGGTGACAAAAGAAAATATGTGGATCAAATTGCTACAGCAAAAGCTTGAAAACAAATGAACATTCCTTATGGGACTGCGCGGGCTTAAATAAGAATTTAATGCCGATATAGCAATTTGATGTTTACTTTACAACAATTTATTTAAAAAGTTATAGAGGAAAGGGGTATAAGCACATTAAAGCATATAAAATATGGATATTGGATTATAAATCAGCGTGGCAATTGGTTAATATAACTTCGTGTTGTTACGTGGTGCAACTTATTGTCATTCTTGCCGTCATTCTTTTCACGTTTTCAATGTTCTCGGGCTCCAGCTTTGAAGGCTACGATAATTTTGCTATTTGTTCTTTACCTACAAGTAATCAGTAATGTACTACGTATAAGTGATTCACAGTATTACCGTATTTTCAACTTCATTACGCAATTTCCGAAAGCAGGAGTCAATTATTGCTTTAACCGAGAAAGTGGTATGTTGGTACTAGCTCAAGTTTCAAGACATAAAAGATGTTATTTTTTGAGTAACTACCCCATCCGCTTTTTATATTTTTTGATAGCATCGCGGCTCAATGCTCAATACCTATACTTTATTTTTTTCCAAGATAGATTTTGACATTGTCAACTTTGAAACATAAACAATGCCGCTAATGCCACTTATTGGCTGCTATTGTAAAACTGATGTCAACCTGCAGAAACTCCTCATTTTGCGACCAATCAGGGTCAAGCGTTATTGTTTATGTTTCAAAGTTTTCAATGTCAAAATCTATCTTGGGAAAAAATAAAGTATAGTTCACGTGGAATCGCCTGCTCCATCTAAGAAATTTGGTTTATTGAAATGTATTCCAATAGATTCAATGCCCTATTCTTCAAATAACCCCAAAGGAAGAATTCTCAAGAAGTGAGATCTCATTCCTTGAGATATCACAGTCCGAAATTTTATTGCGTATAGTAACGTTATATATTTTGCTCTGTGTGATAGTAGACCGTTGGTACCTTCTTGTTGAAACCAAAAATCTCCAATATCAATATTATTGCAGTTTGTAATTTTGTCTTCCAGAAGCCATCAGTGAATTAAAAAATGTGATAAATTATCAAGACATCAACCATCAACCCTCTCCTTTTAAATCACCTACGCATGTAATTATCTATTCTATTAATCCGAAAACCTCGTTATAGTACTTTGACAAAAGTATATACCAAATAGTCGCGTAAATCGGCCCTTCGGATTTAAATATCGTCTGGACGACTGCCAGGGATAGGGAGAGAGATAGAAAGCGATGAAGGGGTCTTTTAATATAATCCTGGGTGCTTTGTTGTACTTTTAACTTTTACTCTTTTGAACGTACGTAGAGTTTTATTTTTAATTTTACCGTTTTAAAGAACGCCAGTTCGCTTTAAGTTCATGTTGAAAAAAGTTAATTGGCTTATAACGTCGGATACGTTAAGAAATTATTGTTTAATTTGAAAAATTTGCTGTTCTTGAATGAAAAGGGCAAACAGTTTTTTAGCTTAGTAGAGTTTTTTTTATAAAGAATGAATATTTCATATTAGAGATTACTTAACTATACCTCTGGAAGTTAGTATATAACGCATGTATCTATCACATTTAATTATTAGGTAATTATGCATCTTTTATGTAAAAACAATAATTAAAAATTGAAAAAATAACATTACAATGTTACTCGTAATTCGGTTTCCATTTATAAGTTAACGTAAGCCAAAGGCGCGTAATTTTTTGAAAATACCTATACTTGTTTACGAGGAATCGTTACAGAATGCCCATTTAGCCACTAGATTTCACAGGAAAAGATTTCCTAATAGGATGGCACCTAAAGAAAGAACATTTGTGGCCGTTTTGCAAAGATTGCGTGACAAGGGAAGTGTAAGTGTGCAAGATGTTAATCGGGGACCTGCAAAACAAAGAACAGATTTTAGCGATAGTGGAAGATAGCCCTGGAATAAGTACTCATTCCATTGCCCAACTAGTTAGATATTCCCACTCAACAGTTCATCGGACCCTTCGACAACATGTATTTTACCCGTATCATGTGTAGAGGGTACAGGTATTGTCTCCTGAAGATATTCCAGGCGGAGTTCGTTTTTGTGAATGGTTTCTCCAAGAAATTTGGGACGTGTATACGTAGTTTTTCACCGCATATACTATTGTCAATATAATACTACTGAGATGGCATGGCGGTTTTGAAAGAACTTCTTCTACAATCAAGCTTGTAAACACTTTTGAAGCATGAAGAAAGGCGGAAGTCTGTGCCAAAACGTACACCATCAGGCATGTGGACGAATATTTGAAGACATTGTGAACAACTGATTTTAGATGACAGAACACATTACCTTTTCAAAATATTCTCCCTCTCATTTCACTTGAAGTATCTGATTCGCTATTCAGAAAGGAAATAAAACAATCTTAACATCTATTTATGTTTATTGTACTGAAAAATGACAAGAATAATATCACCCAAAGTTTTGAAATAATATAGGTAGGTAACACATGTTGCTATAACTATTGCACATTTTGAGACATAAATTTTTAATTTAATTTTTAGAAAAAATTAAGCATAATATGGTGCGACTTAAAATAAGTAAACTTCTATTTATACACTGAGACTATCAAATATTCGAGCTTAACTTTAAAAACTTTACATAAAAAGTAGTTTCAGACGAGTACCAAAGTCAAATTCCTTTTGAAAAAAATAATACTTCTATGTTGTCCATCTGAATTGAGTACTCTAACAGTGATACTTGTAATATTCAAAATATTTATAGTTCATATACGATCTTAGGTTGAACACTTGCGAATTAGGATATTCACTGGTAAAAATTCACTCTATATTAAGAGCATTTAGATCATATCATTTTAGATAGTGATCAAGTATGAATAGTCCGTCTAAAGAGTTTAGGATTTCCACCAGTTTTAATCCATATCGTATACACTATAAATTAAAAATCCAAATTAAACCAAAACGAAATTATATTCAAGTCTCCATTTCCGAGCTGTTCGTATCCTGAACGTCCGGATGAGAATCGTCTAGCAGCATTTGCTGTTGCTTCAAAACCGCGAGCCTTTGATGTGTTATTTCTAGATGGTGTTTCCTCCATTTAATTCGTCTATTCTGAAACCAGACTTTCACCTGTAAAACAGAAATTAATTCAATTCGGTTTACCGAACATTAGAGCCTAGAGGATTATTCCGTTTATATAATAAGGGAAAATCTTACTTGTGCTTCGGTAAGTTGCAAGGTGTGAGCTAAATATAGTCTTTCCGGACCGACCATATACTGTTGCCGTTCGAATTCGGCTTCTAATCGTTCCAGCTGTTCCGGTGTAAAAATGGTCCTGACCCTTTTACTTTTGCAAGCTTTTTTTGATTGGAGTATGTTCGATGGTATGTGTTTCACATTTCGAACTGAAAGAATGAAAATTGAAATAATAATAACATTAATAATATTAGTTTATTTCTGTACAGAGTTTACAAAAATACACAAAATGTACAAAATATTTGTACACAAACAAAAAAACAGGTTCCCCACAAAAGTTTGCTTGCTCGTGGGTTTTTATCCGTCTCCGCACAATAATTATTTTTACTTTAATGCAACTTTTGTGTTTAAAAAGTTTTATTCAAATTAAACATGATATTACTTAGATGTTTCTACAACAAAGCCGACTTAAAGACCCGCTGCCTTATTCTGTAACTTGCGACCGCAGAGAATAGAAAGGTTCGACATTTTTTGTTATTCTTTTATTTAAACCGAAATCGAGAGATTTTATTATTAGGAAACGATTAAAAAAAATTTGAGCGCAAAATATTAATCTTTGCGTTTGTTGCGAGCAATTAAAAATCAACGATCCGCGCCAGGATAAAAAACGTACCTCTACGCGAGACTAGGCTGCATGACGTTAGTAGCCAGGAACGCCACGTGAATTCTTATACCCTCCGTATCGGCCTTTACGCAAACGCTGATCCGATTAACCCAAGCACTACCTGATGTAATTTGTCTTTTTTCAATCATGTTCATTGAAAAAAGATGAAAAACAGACAGCTTATGATCGGATCAGCGTTTGCGTAAAGGCTTATACGGAAAGTATACGAATTCACATGGCGTGCCGCGTGCCGGCTATTGACGTCACGCGGCCTAGTCTCGCGTACAGGTACGTTTTAAATCCTGCGCCGATCGTTGATTTTTAACTGCTTGCAACAAACGCAAATATTAATATTTTGCGCTCAAATTTTTTTAAATCATTTTTTGATAACAAAATCTCTCGATTTCAGTTAAAATAAAAAAAATGTTGAACCTGCCTATTGCGCAATAGTCGCTGTCAAGTCGCTGTCAAACGCGAGTTTTCTATTCAAAAAACGCAACTTGCGACCGGTTGCTGGTTGCTATGTAATTGCTGTTCGTAGAGAATAGGCCTGCCGTATTTATATAATAATAGATGATGAATAAGTGAAAGCTTACTAAAATTCCAAAATTCCTTATTTTAATAATACGTCATCAGAAGGGGCCATATAATTCCTCCCGCACTAATTTTGAGAGAATTGGGGATGATTTTCGAAAGGTTTCACTTCTATGCCCACTTTTACATTGTTTGATTTTTCTTACAATAATTATAATGTAGACAATATAGATTATTATATCTTATCTATGATTACTATGATTAATATAATAATTACAATTATTGATAAACTTGAACTACCAATATCGAATTCTATAAGAGGGTGGATAGTTAACTTTTTGGCATTTTCCAATTTTCCAAATCTTCTCTTATAGTTTCAAGATTTATTTCTGTTAATTGCAAAGGATCGATATTTTGGATCAACTTTTCGTCAACATTGATTGCTGGTAGTTTTAATCCCAAATTAATTATGTCTGGTATTTGGGAATGATAAGTATTTCCTTAAATCTTGACTTTGCAAATTGAGGGTAAAATCAATGAAATGTTACTTATTACCTCAACACTATGTTGGCTGGGACATTGGAAGTATAGAATTTTTAATACCTATTTAGAAGTACCAGTCGTTCTAGTGACTAAACGTATATCGCTTCTTGAACACACAAATAAAATTATATTAGGAATTTCCTATTTCTACATGATGAAATTGATGTATTAGCAATCGACATTCGTTTTTGTTGGTAATTTTTTGTTTCATCTGATTCGTGATTGATAAATAAGGATGGGGTTATTCTAGATGGGTACTAAAAATACTATAAATGCTATCTTTTGATGTTGGGATAATTCTAAGGGAATTGTCATCTAATCATGTGCTGAATGCTGAATGTATACTGAAAATGGATGAAATCTTTCAGCAAGCTTGAATTTGGATTGTACCATGATGCTACCGCTTTTTTGGTGGTTTTTTCCAGATGCTGATTCCAGGTAAGTTTTGAGTTAAGTGTTAATCCCAGGTATTTGAGCTCGCTCGAAATCTGTATGTGCTTCCCCTTTAGACTAGGTGGTCTCAGGTCTTGTATTTTGCGCCTTCGGATGAATGCCATTTATTGGGGCTGATATTTAATCTTTCTCTGTCCATCTATCTTGTTGTTCGGTCTAGAGCATCTTGCATTCGCTCCCTAACTGCAGTAGTTGAATTTGCCGCGTGAGATGGGAACGGTGTCCTCCGGCCGTGAGCAGCAGAAGCAAATCATCCGCCACGAGATCGCTGATGTCTCCTCTCTCCTCTGCGACGATGGTTTCTATCATTCTTTCTCTTAGTATGGAGTTGATTCATACACAGCAGGCGTCCTTAACTCCTCTATGCTCGATATATCGTTATTGAGTCGAAGGAACTGTTGTCAAAAGTGCCCTTTGTCTAAAAAGGAGCCCAGCTTCACCTTCTTGTTTTCCAATTCTCCACTATGCTGACCAGCTGGTGAAGCGCTGTTTCTGTTGACATTCAGTAGATATAAAAGGCCGGTTCTGCAACCTCCGTCCTCCGGAGAAGATCACGTCATCTGTCAATCAAGTCACCTGTCAGTTATCTGTCAATCAAGTTTCTACCTGTCAGTCACTTGTCAATTATCTATCACTTGTGGATCTCACATATGTTGATCAGTTGTCAATCCGTTATTTGTCATTCGCAATCCGCGCCATCTATCCGTTCTGGTTATAATGTAAATATAGATGTTGATGCGTGCAAACTGCAAAATTATTTTGATTGGTTATGTTAGATCTAGCTAGTCTAGCCTAGACTAATCTGACTCGGTGGAATTGATAATAGTGCCTCGGTGAATTTTTGTAGCGCTGGACAAAATTTTGGATGTCGCGCCTGTAATGGTTTAGCTGTTCGCAACGCAATTTCAGATAAAATGTTATTTATTGAACCACGTTTTTCCTATATCATAGATTATTCTAGACAATAAAATTCCACAGACTACAGATACAGTTATTATACAAAAATAGACTAAATAAATATAAACACTAGGATTCGAGTTTTCCTTGGTGCGGTAGTGGAATTTAAAGTTTCGTTTCTGCAGATGGTGTTTTGTATATCCTGTGTTTTTCCCAGACCAATAGTTATCCATTCCTTGCTTGTTAAAATACTTTTATTTTGGAACTCGACGTGTAACTTAAACTGATAATATTTATCCTTGGAAAATGGCACCACCTTCTGAAAAGTAGGGGTAGGACCCAGAAGGCGATAATATAACGGAATCCATAACTCGTTAGAATAACTATCAGTTTTCAGCTGAGCCTTGATATTTCGGACATATGATGGTGGATGTATGTAGAGAATATTTTGAACGACTGCTGCGAGGGCGATGAAATTAGAACTTAGCCAAACCATTGCTATTACATGAATGGAACATTCTACTATTTGGCTAGAGCTCTTATACAGAAATAACATTTGTTTTGTGAGGAGGGAGGCCCATCTACTTGCGTTCTCCAATCGGGTCCATTATAATGGATGAAACAGGGAACTCTTACTTGCAATTCTAAAGCACGCCTGTGATCGAGTTGTGATTTTTCCTAAATATTTGAAAGTACAATACTATCGACATATTGTAAAAAAACCCAATTGGTAAATCTTTCAACTCATCAATACTACATTCTTCTATATTTTTTTCCCCCGCCGATAGGAATTTCAACAATTGATCACACATCTTCAACAAAAGCTTCTACTAGACTAAGGAATACACGAAGACAATTATTGTGCTATATTCAGTTTCCCTCTCCTTTTCCTTTTTTATCCACAGCGGCGGCTTCACCTTCTCATCAATCATTTTGATTACTTGACCTTTGGTAATTAAGTCGGTATCGTTTATAGCATTTGCAGCTTTAACTATTCGCTTGTTGTCGATGCTTACATAATTTTTCGTTACATTAAACAGCTTATGCTGTTCTTCTAAGGCCGTGTTTATGTTGGAGCTGTGATAAACGATAAAAGCAGCGATACTAATGATACTATACATTAGTATCGTTGCTTTTATCGTGTATCACAACTCCAACATAAACATGACCTAAGGCAGATATTTTCCTAGTCAATTTGTTTTTAATGTCATTTTTAATCGATTGATTCTTATTTATTAAACTTTGAACTTTATCCTGACTGTCTTTCATGGAAGCCTCTATTTGCTTAAACCTGTTCTTAAATACTTCTTGTGAGGGTAAGCCACTAACTTTTCTCACTTGGTTTTGCAGATCTGTTTTGAATGTCTCCGAAATTTCTTGAAGCTTTTCATCTGTGTATCTGGATCAATCTTGTGATCCCAGCAGGATTTTTTACGTTGCTTAGTTTTCGATTTTGCATGTCATAATCCCCATCGGAGGTGTACGGAATTTGGCTTCCTTGGTGACGTTGTCGTTGAAATAATATGTTTTTATATTCACCAACAGCTTTGAGACGCTGCGAACGTCCAAACTTATCAACCGACATGATGATACTGAGTAGAGTATCAACTATTTCACGCTCTTATCAATGGGGGCACAATGGGTATTAGTAAAAAATTGAAATTAGACAGTTGACTTTGTGGCGCAATTGGTAGCGCGTCTGACTGCAGATCAGATCCAGATCCGATACTCATATATGAATGTGGCAATAGTGTGTATCGAATTGATTCAAGGTGCTCGAAAATTTGTAAATACTAGAGTATTAGTGAGCATTCACACCAAAGTAGCATGCGACGTGCGACTTGCTGCTAGGAAGCAGGAAGCACAAAAACTATCAAAATATATGACACATGTATCTCTGACGCATGATAACACGTCACATTTTTGCAAGACCACTCCGGTGTAAAACCTGCCATATATATTTAAAAGTTCTTAAAATAAGTAGCATGCTTCTTGCTTTCTAGCAGCAAGTCGCACATCGCATGTTACTTTGGTGTGAATGCTCACTTACAGAAAATTAATTTTTCAAAAAGACCTCAGGGTACTCATAATAGTTCAAGGCGTAATAACTGATACAAATTTCAACGATTTATCATAAAAAAGTGAAAACCTATTTTAGAACTTTAGTGGTATAAGGTTGTTGGTTGCCTTCTTTTCAATATGCCCACGGAAATAGAAACTTGTGATATCTGCAAAAAAAATGTTGGGAATGATAAGGAAGGTTTATTGTGCGATAAGTGCCATGGTTGAAAACACTGACTATCCATTGGACAGAAGTCTTACCAAAGAATAAGTAAGTCTGCTGATAATTGGTACTGTAAACAGCTGCCAGAAAAAAAAACCAAAACCTGAACAGAAAACATCTAATTAAACCATTGATGATGTTACGGAAGCCCTACTCAGCATGGAAAAGAAGTTCTACTTTTCCAGAAGTAAGAAGAACAGATTAAAGTCAATGAAGACCTAAAGATGAGATAAGTGAAATAAAGTCTGAAATTAAACGAAAGGATCAGAGGGACCTGAAACATAATCCTATGGAAATGAATAGAAAGTTAAGGAAAATTGGAGGATTAAAAATTTTGGTCTTGGACGGGATTCGAACCCGCGTCTTCAATCAACTAAGACTCTACAGATCTTGTTGATTTTTGTTTTGGTGCTGTTAGAGGAAATTGCGTGGTTCTCCGCTCATTGCCAAACTTCTCAATCCTCCAATAGACCCACACATTTATGTTGATATTTATATCTAAATGTAGGTTTTTCGTCCATGTAACCGATGTTGTGACCGACAAAACTTCATTCCGTTCAACATTGCTAATGCGGGCATCGCATACGCCGATTTTTTTTGAACTTCCAAAATCTTGAAATGCATTCCAGGTGCTTGAACGTATACTTCAACGATTTAGATTGACAAGATTTGTCAAAATTATTTTCATATTATTTTCTAATAGGTACTTGAACAAGTCACACATTTATTTTAAAGAGTTCCCCATTATAGTATGGCTTTTGCCTATAAAAATGGGATTTGGATTTGGGATGACGGCAATAATACACTACAATATATGTCGTAAGTTGTAATTTTGAACAGGCTTTTAAAAAAGTCCTAATTTTATAATCCAATCATCATTTGTCTTTCACAGAAAAGCCGACATAATTCAAGGAGATTCTTCACGGTCCAGCAAAGCATCAACTTCAACGTCAATCTCTGGAAGGAAAAATATGGATTGTGAAATAAGGATAATGGATGTTGTCGATGGTTATACTCAGGTGAGCTATAATTAATGCGCTTACAACTTAAGAGAATGTTTGTATTCTTTAGAGCAAATTTCGGAAGCATTATCAAAGAAAAGTGAAGTTTTTCGATAAAGCGGTGGCAACTATTCAGGATGTTAAGGATGTAGCAATTTTTACAAGTAAAATCGACGATTTGTTTCCTGAATTTATTGGGTTTTTTCATACGGTGTCCATGGATCGATTTCTAAGATCCATGGTAGTATACTTTCAATATTATCTTCAGGTAAAGTGAATATTCATTTAATTTGTACGATTTTGATTGAAACGCTTGAGAACTTATCTTCAAATCTACTCATCACTACTGAACCACAAACAAAATAGTATTACCGTCAATTATTGAGAAAAAGTTGTTTCGATTTCCTAGACCATCTAATTTTATTTCAATTCAGATCCTATAAAGTTTATCTACTTGCGAAGCTTTAATTATCCCGATTTTTCGAATAAAATCCTAAAACGATTCGGAAAAATTTATTGCCTTCAAGGTCTGGAATAAAATGCAATTAAGAAGAAAAGAGGCATCGCGCAAGCTAAGGCAGCCCATCGTTACCGAATTAGAAAACGAAGTCAGGGATAATTTGGCAGATTTACGAAGTATGGTGTCCCGGGATTATGCGGCCATTTTGATGGGGATCTGCGACGCAAAGAAATATCATCACATGAACAATAAGAACAACGATTCGTTGTCGGATAAGGACAGGCGCTTATTCGAGATGCTCATTTATATGACTACCAAAGTTGTTTGGATTGCGCTTTTTCGAAAAAATTTCCTTTTAATTGGTGAGTGAGAGTCATGTAAAATTTCATTATAAAGAAATGATACATTGTTAAATTCTTACTCATTCTACTAAAGAAAGTAGTGAAAAAAGAGCAGTACGACCTATAGTCGATTTGTTTGAGCGAGACCATTAAGTATATGTAAATTTATGTGTAAAACTGGGACAAACTAGATTTCTCATTTGTTCATAACAATACTATTAAGTTGTCAGCAAATCATTAAGATTGAACTTGACCCATCCGTGTTTTTTTTTTTTTTTTACGGATATGCGCACTCGCAAGGAAATGTCCTATCACGCTCGAGAAGCGGCAAGTGCGCGGAAATGTCGGTGTATGTTGGTCTTGAAACGGTTCAGGTTGTAACCTGCAGGGAAAACCGTCGCAGGGAGTTTATTCCACAGCGATGCTGTTCTCCAGAGATATGAATTCTGATATAATGAGGTTCTTGGTGCCTCTAGTTTGACAGTAAATTCATGGTTACCGTCTGTTTGACGGGTTCGCCTGGTAGGCGCTACTCTCGGTGGAATCATACGTGCCAACTCTTCAGAGCATTTTCCGTGATAGTACCTGTAGAAGAGAGATAAATCGCCCACAGATCTGCGATGTTCGAGACCATCCAAGTTAGTGTTAGGGTACGAAAAGGGTCTAAGGCTCAAATTTATTATTACCTTATTCGGAAAATATATGGGACGCCTATGGCGAGTCGATTATGACGTTAATTTGCGATGGTCTCGCGTTACCAAATGGACTATAGGTCAAACCGTCCATTGAACTGTTGTACAATAATGCTTCTTGTTATGTCTCTCAAACTAAAACTCTCTTCATTAACAACAACAACTTTGATTGACAATTCACTCATTACTTATACTTTTACTTTTACGCTTTTACTCGACTTTATATAATTATTCTCTTATTTAAAGTGACTCCCGGTCTTACAAACTGCGCGCTTTGGGTATATGTATTAAGAAATATTCAGTCGAAAAATCTCTAGAATCACGTTAATGTTTGTTTATTCAAATGAAACAATGAGATTCCTGAATACTTACCACTGGCTTCGTAAATAGCGGCACCGGCCTCTTCGTATTAATGTAATTTCGTAACATTCTCAAATCACACCATTAATTCTCGTCCTCTAGATTTATACTCTTTACAAACCCGAAATCATCGTCATCAACCCAACAGTTCTCCTCATGCTCAACATCTATACCTGTCAAATATACTCTCACGCCTTCTTGGTTTTTCTTCCCATGAACTGACATCACGGGAATTAGAAGAAGGCCGAATGACCTCCTTCCACCCTTCGTAATTCTTCCAGAACTTCCTTCATTATTGTGCCTTCACCTTTGGTTTGGATATCTCATTGAGCTTTCTGTTGTCTTGCTCCGTGCTGCTACTGATGAAGTTACCGCCGGTGTTGATCTCCATGAGCGGAAAGACTCTCAAATAGTTCTAAGCGCAAGGTTACACTTTACAATCAAGCCTGTACGGGTGGACCAATTTGGACACTTTTAATAGGAAACATCAACTTCTGAGCGAGATACAAAAAAAAAAATCCCCCCACTCTGAGGCTCAAATTTCATGAAATTTTGATTGGTGCAAACCGCATTTTGATATCTTCAACCGTTTACCCGCTAGAGGACGATTCTCGATTTTGAGCAATAATGTGAAACTATCCTAACTTTTTTGTTTATGAAAATTATTGATTTCCGTAAAAACTTTCTAGAAGCACTTTTTCAAGCAGAATTCAGTGACGTTCTCAGTTTTTTTCTAGTTGGTCCCAACTCCGAGATATTGACCAAAGTCTGGTTTTTTTAATAGGACACCCTATGATTTTGTTTCTCGAAAACTGTTAGAGATAAACCTATCGAACCTTATATCGTTGAAATCAAAAAAGGCAGAGCTTTTTAATGAGCTATTAATATACAGTAAGGGGCAAGCTACTAGGTATATAGGATATACCCTGACGAATTTGCAGGCGTCCGCATATGCCATTAAATGGCAAATGCATAAGCAGTAACCTGGCGACAACCAGGTAAAAAGGAAACGTAAAAAACCTGTCACTCAAAAGAACCCTTGATGCCCATTTTACATTGGACTTAACGTAACTGTAAAGACGTCACATAAGTCCTAAGCATGCGCACATTAGATTTATTTGCGTCAAATATGTCACCGAAAACGCAACGTAAGAGATGACCAACTCGCATCTTCTCTTACGTTGCGTTTCCGGTGACACATTTGATGCAAATAAATCTAATGTGCACATGCTTAGGACTTATGTGACGTCTTTACAGTTACGTTAAGTCCATTGTAAAATGGGTTTGAGTGGGATTTATAAATTCCATAACGTATCCGTAACGCAACCGTAACAAAGCAAAACGCAAGCATTTTAAAAATTACAATATACCTATACATTCCTTGCGTTAGTTTGGCACATGCGTCGTAAATTGTTAAAAATCAGTGATTAATTGTTTTACGTTGTCTTTTTTGCTACCGAAGGCCTCAATTGTCCCAGCTTAGGTTTGCCCAGCATCCCGGAAGCATTTTCATTTTATAATTTTTGTTAAATGTTTGGCAATGTTGAGCTTAACTGGTCCAAAATATTTGAAACTTTTGCAAGAGCAAATAATAGTTCCAGAAATTAGAAGAATTGGATAATAATAATAATAGCTGGTCCTAGATTCAACGAAACATGGTTTCAACAAGATGGTTGTCCCGCCCATAATACGTGTTTCATTCTGAGCTGTTTGAATAATACTTTTCCAAAATTCCAAACCGTCTCATTGTTGGGTCAACAGCTGCAATACTGTGGCCAGCCCGCTCTCCCGATCTTGCACCCAACGATTATTTTCTCTATTGCAAATTAAAAAGTGTATGATGGTTTTCAAGAGGATCGCGCAGTGAAACTTGAGCAGTTGCGTCTCAAAATTCGAGAAGTATGTCTATCTCTCACCCCTGTGATGTTAAATAATGTTTGTAGAGCCTTCTTCAAGAAGGTGGACTGTTTGAACATTGGCTCATTTGCTACATTAGATAGATTATCTGTTTAGAATTTTTGTTTTTTTTGCTTCTATTTTTTCTGTTGGAATACATTTTTAGTTTTTCCTGGATGGGTTTTTTGAAAAAGATGTTTTCTTTCCATAGAATCGGAACAATACTAGTATTACTATTGTTTCGAGTCATCCATAAGCGCGATCCAGAAGCATGAAGTTTTGTCTGCACAGTTCAACAAGTGATCAGCAATCAGTAAAGTTTGGACCAGGCTTAAGTCTGTAAAATCATAAAACGTACTGATGTGAACAAACTCAAAGAACGTCAAAGTCGTTGAAAAAACGACAGCGACAGGTGTTCAAACGGATGCGGACGGTCGTAAATTCGTCAAGTTGGATCCTATATACCTAGTAGCCTGCCCCTTACTGTATAGGGTGTCCTATTGAAAAAAAACAGACTTTGTTCAATATCTCGAAGTTGGGACCAACTAGAAAAAAACTGAGAACGTCACTGAATTCTGCTTAGAAAAGTGCTTTCAGAAAGTTTTTACGGAAATTAATTTTTTACATAAACAAAAAAATTATGAAGGTTTCAGATTATTGCTCAAAATCGATAAGCGCCCTCTAGCGGCTAAACAGCTGGAGATATCAAAATACGGTTTGCACCAATCAAAATTTCATGAAATTTGAGCCTCATTTTTTTGTATCTTGCTCAGAAATTGATGTTTCCTATTAAAAGTGTCCAAATTGGCCCACCCTGTACATCGTATATGAATGGTGATGATTTAACTTAAGTACCGGTTGCATGCGAAGCTGAGATATTTCCTGATCTCAAGTCACTTTCCAGTATTTCCATTTTGGTCGGAACAATAACCATTTTTTGGCAGAAGGGTTCCAACTTTCTGAAGAAGAGTTCCAACTTCCTGACAAACAGCTGTCTGATGAATAGTGTCAACTTCTTGACGAACACTCTCAACTTCTTCACGTATTTTTTCCATTGCATTTTTAAGTTAATCAATTTGAGCTTCCGAGATTTTCTTGAATCTGGTTTGTTCTTTAAGCCTGGTTGATACGGTCCAAGTGCACTTGGATGAGAGCTTGGACCAAGTCAGTTGGTCGCCAAAAGTATCGTCCAAGTGAGGCGCGCACCGTCCAAGGGTACTTGATCCAAGTACACTTGGACCGTGTCAACATGGTTTTACTTGATCCAAGTTCTCATCCAAGTGCACTTGGACCAAGCACTTTCAGTACAGGATACGACGCCTATTTCACCAAATCATCTTGCATTGATATATCATCAGGGGGGCTTTATTTCAAATTGATGTAACTTTGCGTATACGCAAATGACGTCATTTTCGATTGAAAATTGGTGCACGGCTTATTTGAAATGCACTGCGAGCGATATGACTTTGCATTTTGCTTCAGCAGTATTGCAAGCCTCACAAAGCTTCACTCAGGGCTGATCCTAGGGTATGGGCCGCCCGCGTGCAAAGAACAATTGCGCCGCCCCCGCCCCACAGAGATATAGCACCCTTACGTAGGTGACGGTGGTGGTAGCTCGCCGGAGGCAGAAATTTTTTTTTGGGTGCCACGCCCAAAAGTGATTATTTCGAGCCTCAAAATGAAAGTTTTTGGGCGTTTAGATTAAGAAAAACTTGTTTGGAACAATATATCAACATATTTGTTTTCTATGAGTTGAGTGATGATCAATAATGACAAACACTATCCTCAAGTAAGTAGGACCTGGCTTGGGCCTAGGTACGAAACTGAAAAATAGGGCCCTGTGGAAGATCAAGACACCCCAGTCCCTAGTTGTAATACTTACCCAGTGGCGCACCCAGGGGGGGGGGGGGGCATCGGGCCAGGCCCCCTTCCAGGCCGCTCCTGCAAAACTTAATTTTTACGTAGGTATAAAAAATGTGGCAAATTCAGGGCGGGGTACCCTGACAGCTCTTTTTTTTTTAGATTTTCAGTCAAAAGCCACAACCTATGTAGGGTCCCCCTCCCCCCAATCAT